TGGAATTATTTACTTATCATTTTGGGTCAGGTGTCATATCCAGGATCCGCCTCATTTCCAACTCTCTCGAAAATTCCTCTAATTTTTTATGGGAATTTGGAGATTTTTTTTAATGAAAAATACCAAAGAAAATTAAAAATACTGTTGGAATTGTACAATAATGAAAAGAAACGTTATGATAAACAAAGTAATAATAAAAGAGGGAAAATCTGATTGTAGATATAGTAGCCGTATTGGGAGGAATCGAGGCATATGTTGCACACAATTTCCTTAAAATAAATTTGGCCTCCACTGTGATGCAAGAGGACCGATAGCTTATATTTTTCAGGATACAACGGTTGATAGTAGATGATTAGCACATCGTCATTATTTTAAGCGAAATAAGAATACTCACGTTTCTATCACCGAATTTGAACAAATAAATTATCTAGACTATTGGGAATGAGATTCTTGACAACAAAGAAAGGAGAAGGAAATTTAGAGAGAAGAAAAAATCTATGATACTCTATATTCAAGGAGAAGATAAAACATTTTATTACATCTGAGGGTCATGGAGATAACCTCATTTTCATGGTGGTCGTTCAAGGGACAAGTAAAAATCTAAGTTCAAATTTTGTAATTATTGCAAGAAAAATAGGCACTTAATAAACGAGCGTTAGAAGTTACAGAATAAATCAAAATTGACTGTAAATCAACAATCAGAAACTTCAGGGGAAACAAGTATTGTAGAAAATCCTAACAGTGATGGAGAGTTTTTAATTATGTCTGACTATAACTCCAAACCTGACGAAACTTGGATTCTTAATACAGCTTTCACTTTTCATATGTCTCCTAATCGGAATTTGTTTTCAATATATAAAGAAGTTTCAAAAGGTGTTGTGATCACCGAAAATAATACATTTTGTCGGATTGCTGGTATTAGCCATATCAGAATAAAGATGTTTGATAGAACGGTTATAACATTTGATGCAATGAGCCACGTTCCAGATCTGAAGAGAAATCTTATCTTCTTAAGTACTCTTAATTCAAAATAGTACAGGTATATTGTTGAACGTGGAGTCTTGAAAGTCAGTAAAGGAGCCCGTGTTTTGTTAAAGGGACATAGAAATCCTCATTTATATATTTTGCAGTGTTATACAGAATTTTTGAGCAATCAGCATATTTTAAGAGCTTAGATGGATTTGGAGTTGAATTATATACCGTTGGGGTCTAATTTGAGGTCTTCTTTAAAGAATACATCTCAGTTGAATTTAGAAGTGATGAGTTAATCCGTCTTACAATCATCATCGACGGTATCATTGTATTCAGTTGCTAGTAACATACCTATTTTTTGCCATAAAATTCCACATAAGTACAATTCTGCTAATTTAATTGATGGTTTGAATGCGGTTAAAAGTGTTGATTCTAGCCCAAATCTTTCTTTTGATGCATTTAATTGTAATTCTGTTATAGGGCTTGTTTCAACTTTATTTGGTAGTCATTAGATTACTTTTGCCCCTAGTTGGGGTAGTAGAGATAGAGAATATTTTCAGCAAGAAATTTTTTGATTGAAAAGTTTATTGTGTTTTTCATTAAAGAGTTCAAAATTTATTTCTTGCAATTAAATTTGTCTTCAGGTAGAGAATTTTTCCTTTGAAGTTTTGTTCATTACAGTGGAATTAGTGTCAAAATGGAGATTGTTAGATTTTTGGAGTTCTAATTAAAGTGCACATTAAGAAGAATTCTATTTGAAATGCTATTATAGAATCTTATTCAAGTTTATTTGACGAATTTTGATTGAAGTTCTACTGGAAGCCCAATTAGGGGTTAAAATTTGTGTTGAACTTAACGAAGACTTTGGCACAATGAAAAATATCTTTGGAAGGTATTTGAGAAGGAAACGAGATATCGAGGTGCCGTAGTTGTTTATTGAAACAAGGAACTAACGTCCGAGCATCAGGGGCACCCGGAGAGTGGCGTCACGACGCCGTTATGTTGTTTGTCTCCTATTTCATTTTGGACTTCTTTTTTTGCATTCTATTTCAGTTACAACTCTACTATCAGGATTTGGACATTCCCTATTTGTTCCTTACATATAGTTAACTCTTCATTATAATTTAATAGAAGTTAGAAATATTGTAAATACAAATCTTTGTATCCATTTTCCATATTAAATCTCCATTTTCTACGAATTGTTTTGTTTTCGTGGTCAATTATTTCATATTGTAGTTATAATCTCTTATTTTCTCCAACAATTTAGTATTGAATTAATTCGGTATCATCTTCGTTTCACAATAGTTACAATAGCTTTTAGGGCTTTATAACCACCAATTCAATTGGGAAATTAATGAAAGAATTGAAACCATACGTCGTTACAATTCTCATTCACTTTATTTTATTTTAATTTTTTCAACAATTTTTGACATTTTTTAGTACTTCAATTAGTAATTTTGAAATAATAAAATTTCTAGTTTAGGGGGTGGACAAAAGTACTGATCCAACCGAAACCTAATTTAACCGTTTAATTCTTCTTAAGTTTTAAACATTTTTGGGTACTAAAATTAATTATATTTACCATGGCAATTGTAAGGTAGAATTTCCTTGAATACTTTCCATGGTAATTTCACTTTCAAGATGTGACAAACGCCATTTTCTTGGCATTTCCGCTGAGACACGCGCCATTGCCGCCGGAAAGCTGGCTGCGGCCTGCCTGTTTAAAAAACACGGTTTTCCCTAAATACTTAATCCATAAGACATGGAAAGCCCACGTGCACACCCTAACCCCACATGGCCGCCCACCCATTGACAGATTGACTCCTTCCAAAAGGCCAAAGTTCTTAAGAATCTATATAAGTACCCCCAACGCGTTCACAGAAATAATACAATTACACCGTTAATCTATAGATTTATTCAATATCCAAGCCGCAATGGCATCAACTTCTTTTCTTCATTCAGAGATTCCTCTTTCCAAGCCATTTTCTTCAACACATAGAAACAAGACGAGTTGTACCAAAATTTTGGCAATAAGAAGAGAAACCCACGACCAAAACTACAACGGAAGAGTGGTGGATGAAAACTTGATCATTCTTCGGAAGAGAATCCATGAAATGAAGGTGATAGAGAGGAATTATGAGCCCCCTTCTGAATGGATGGATTGGGAAAAGAGATTTTATGCAAATTATGATTCAATAATTTGTGATGCAATGGGGTTGTTGCAATCCCAGTTGATGGAAACTAGGCCAGGCTTGGCTTTGGGTATTATTGCACTCATTGCGTTGAGTTTGCCCACTTCAACGGTTGTGATTATGTTTCATTTGATTGAGATAATTAAGGGAATAATTCATCTGAGTTGAAGGAAATTTGATTTGGGAAGCTTCACTTTATTTTTGTATATTATACAAAAAAGTTCTGTAAATTCATTTGTTTGATTCATTTCTCCCCTTGATGTTAGATCAAATACAGATTGTATTATTTGAATTTTTGCTTTCTTTTTTGGACTACCAAAGCTCAAGCTTGTTACTGTATATAAATAAAAATATATACGTGTTCAAATTAAAGGTTAAAAATGATAAAGTTATTACATGATTTAACACGTTTGAACATTTAAACATGTCAAATATGAGTCTCTAGGCTCACGACACTCTGAACACACAAGCTTACTCGTATAATAGTCAAGATATGGGACTACGTTGATCTATCCATTACCATTCCACTTAGCTTCATAATCCATTGAAAATCGATTTACAGTTGTTTCCTAAAAGTAAGACATAGTGGTATTAACGGGTATGTCACGGTTTACACGTTGATATAACACGACCCTTGTGTGGATCGAACTGATCCATTGGCCCTTTTCGTTTCTAATTTTAATTAAATAAAAGATTGGAGAAATTAAAAGCATGTTAAAACTACTATCTTTTTGAGAAAATTTAGAAAAATCTAAAATAAGGAATTATTTTGGAATAAAACGCATGTCATAACTAGGGTATTAATTGACATGCCAAAAATTAGGTTAAAAGCAAGGGTGATGCTACATGTACCCACAAACTTTCACACAATCTTTTACACCCCCCTCACATGGAGGGGGGCCCACGATTATTTTATTATGTGTGGACCCCCCTCCATGTGAGGTGAGTGTAAAAGATTGTGTGAAAGTTTGTGTACACAAAGCATTATTCTAAAAGCAATTAGAACGGAAAACTGCAAATCGTGACTTTTTCGCAATATTTTTCTTTTTTGTTGTGTACCTCTACTTTCAAATTTTTATTCTAAAGTACGGTATTTGTGAAATTTCCTTTATGTGGTTTATTCTTGGGAAAAATTCATAAGTAAGA